GACATGATAAAGGGGATTTTGACTTTGGGATCATTCTGAAATTAAAAAAAAATAATATTATGATGTTACTAAGGATATCACAAATATATTTGCTGCTAATATAGATGGTTCTGTTATGGAGTTTACTATATTTTGAATATTTCATTATTGTCAATCATTTAATATTGATTAGACTGAAATTATGAAAAAAATATGCAAAAAACTGTCCCCTCCATTGTCTAGGATGTACATAAATGTAGATATATAAATCCATACATATATACATAGGGTAGCTAAGTGGTGCAGTGGAAAGAGCACCAGGCTTGGAGTCAGGAAGACCTGAGTTCAAATCCAGCCTCAGACACTTACTAGCTATATAACCCTGGGGAGGTCATTTAGTCCTATTAGCCTTAGTTTCCTCTGTAAAATGAGCTAGAGAAGGAAATGCCAAATCACTCCAGGATCTTTGCCAAGAAAACTCCAAATGGGGTCATGACGAGTTGGACACAACTGAACGTGACCGAACAACAAAAAATAAAACATATGTATATATATATATGTATATATATATATGCATATGTATATACACATACATACACATATATGCTTATATATATATATACACACATACATACGTGCACACACATATGTGTGTATATATTGAATTCAACTGGTACTTTCAAATCTCTGTATTTGTTTGCTCCATACAGTGATTTCATCTACATGGGCAAACCCCAGAGGGATGCTGAGAAATTACACAGTGAATGAAAAGAGTCAGAGTGGGTAATTTTGCCCCTCAATAACAACATTCTTTTTTTTGGTGGTGGTTGTTGTGTTTTGCTTTGTTTTGTTTCCCTCAATTATTTGCATAACCACCTCATTTTCCCATTTTACTTTGTTTACACACAGACAGAATATATTATCAGACTTAGCAATATGAATACTTCTAAAGACATAGGCTTCAGAAGAAGAGAGAAAAGTGAAGGTTTTCTTTAATGGTGGAAGTGAGCTGTCAACAAAGAAAAAATACATGGAGTGTTGTAATGGCTCATTTTTCCATCTTATAGAAAGTGTGCAATGGAAGAATATGTATTCCAAAAAATTATTTTTTAATTATAAATACAAACTATGGGCAAGTAATATTTATCCACATTTCAATATTTTCATTTCAGTTCAGTCATGATTTCATCAGTGAAGGGAATTCTCAGTGTGCAAATTCCCTCTAGCAATGCAGATCAGTACAAATCCTCTATGACTTAAGATTCTTAGAGTGTTGCCTCAAGGTTTGACAAGTGAAGTGAACTGCCCAGCATCCTATAGCTAGTATGTAGGTTGGAGACAGTATGTGTTCCCATGTATTTCTGGCTCTCAAGTCAGGTCTTTCTCCACTCCGGCACATTGCCTCACATGTTCAACTTTATTTGTATTTTTTTTCCATTTAATCTTCACTAATTTTTATCATATGTGACTCATTTTCACTTTTAAGATTCTCCTGAAAATACAATGAAAATAGAACACCTCTTAAAGTCAATTTCAATTTATCGCTAAAAAAGGGGGTACACCATGGCTTAGAGAATTGCATCTAGCATTCTAAGCCCAATTTTAGAATAAATAACAGTAATTCTAGTTCTAAATCACTTAAACTGAATTCTTATTATGAATTTGTGTGGGTAGAGCTCTACAAAAGAGAAATAAGGTAACTTTATTTTCCCTGAGAACTGATCAAAAATGCCTTTCCCCCTAGAGAATTCAACCTCCCATTATGGTAATCAACACTAACTGTCTTCCATCCACAGAAGAGCACAGTAAAAGGAGAAAGTTCAGAGAGAGAGAAGAAGAAAGGAAGGGCACAAAATTTGAGCCACTTAGGATAATATTTCTTTCATTTTATTGATTTTGCTAAGATATATATTAAATTCTTGGAAATGTTTTTGGCAGTAAAGCTAAATTCTTTAAACCCCAAGTCTAAGGAGAAATTAATAAAATGCAGTAGGTAAATTAAAGGAGAATGAAAGTGCAATGAGCCACAGATAAACCGATTAATTAACAGGATTTAATACATATGTAATTAGGTTTCTGAAGATTTCTATTTCTCCTAGCTCAATTTTTAAGTTTGGGTTTGGGTCTTTATAAGATTCATATGGCAAAATACTGAAAATCAATTTTAGAATTAGTAATAAAATTGAATTCCTTGCATCATTATTTCCTTTTCTCTCAGAAAATCATTTTTAAAAGACACAGCTTCCTTAAATTCTACTTTTTCATTCTCTGCAATAATTTCATGACAATTTTAATACTAAGGGAGGTTGGCATCTTTCTGTAGGATCATATATTCAAATATTTTCATTTAAAAATGAACAGAAATGAAATACAAAACACTGGGCTTCCTTTTCTTGTGATATATATACACACATATATACATACACATATATATACATATATACATATACACACATGTACACATGCGTGCACACACACACACACACATATATATATATTCATTTCTTTTTCTTACTTGAGAGAACATATTCACAAAAATAAACTAGACCCAGCATCACTCAGAAAGCTCATGGAATTAGTTTGCCACAAAAGTGATACATCTAACCATTAGTGCTTATAAGAAGTCCAGTGTGCTGCTTTTAGCTTGATTCTTTAGGATACTATTTGTATCATGATACATTACACCCTAAAAGATATCCCGTGGTGCCTCATCTTAACATTGATGTAACATTGAAGTTTTCAAAGGCTTTATTGACTGCAGTCTTGATCCTTTCCAAGGACCAGTTTAGCTGAGGATGGAGACTTATAATGCTAAGATTAGCCATTAAAGACGATTTTTGGAGGAATTTTAGCATAGCAACCCACAAAGCATTATTTCAACATAGATATTAAAACAATGCAAAATTTGGCTCTCTTTGGTAATCAAATAAATGAAGGAAGCTAGTCTGTAGTGAACTAGAATACAAAGGAATTCTGGAGGTGACTCAAAAAATAAAAATATAAAATTTCATACCATCCCCACAAACTGTTCAGCAAATAAGGTTAAATAATGACAAATCAAATTGCACTTTTAAAAAGGCTAATGAGTTGCTCTTTATTTCATTATTTGAGAGTTGTTTCCACAGAGGAAATTACTGATCCCAATCTATAGAGCAGAAAATACAACAGTAGGTAGAATTTTGGTTAATATAGTTTTACTCAGAATGCTCCACTGGTTCCACAGGAGTCAGGATATGAAGAATCCTTCGTGAAGCCTGGATAGTACAGTGGTAATGCTTTTCTTTACCCTTGGGTAACTTAGGAACTGTTCCAGGACCTACCTTCACTGCTCATTTCTCCCTGGCTGCAAATGCAGCAGCAAAAGCACACTGAGCTCACAATGGTCATAATGGAAAACCCAAAGTTGCCTTAATTAGCTGCTTAATGTGTCTGCCCTATGCCTCTTTGCAGGATAAGCAGATCTTACAGTTCTCTCCCTTTTTAGTCATTGCTGACAGTGAAATTCTCTCTGACACCAGAGAGTTGTATGATTGAAGCCTCAGCCGCCTAGGTCAGTTGGTTAGAAGATGGTGCCAATGAGGCCAGCATCAAATGTTTGATTCCTAAATGGGCCAGTAGCTTTCAATCTGCTGCGTGCTCACAGACAGCACCTCTTACCCTGGCCAGTCATTTCTCTGATGTGAGTCACAAAGCAAAGAAGGCAAACAAGTATGTCAGGCTAATACAAATCTATCATCATCATCATCATCATCACCAAATATATATATATATATATATATATATATATACACATATCTATATAGATAGATATAGATATAGATATACTTAAGCAAACCTTTTACAGAAAATGGAGTGAAAATGTTAACAGACTATAATAACAATAAACTATAATAATAATAATAACTAGCATTTGTATAACACATTAAGATTTGCAGAGCATTTCACAAATATTATCTTATCCTTACAACAAACCCTGGGATTTATGTGCAAGTATTATTTTCATTTACATAGGGGAAACTGAGTCAACAGATGTTAAGTGACTTGCTTAGGATTCCACAGGTAGTGTCTGAGGTTAGATTTGAGCCCAAGTCTTCCTTATTACAAGTTCAGCATTATTTCTATTGTGGCACTCTGAGAAAGGGTATTTTCACTATTGTTTTTATTGGGGAATTTCAATTCTATCCTAATTGTGATTTTTTTAAACCAGATTTTGATTTCTCTCTTTTTGAAAAAGGTCTGAAAACAGAAGGCCAGTAAATATGTGAAAGTCACATTAATATAAGTAAAAAGTGATGGACTTCTTTAATTTCTACCAAAAAACTCCTGAAATTCTAGACAACAGATTCTTTGATGTCATCAACAAATTCATCCTACAAGGAAAAATCTTCATGTTAATATATTTTCCTCAGAATGCTACAATAGTTCCACAAGGTCAGGAAATGAATAATGCTTTGTAAAGCTTGGAGAGCATAGTTGTCACGTTCCTCTTTACACTTGGGTAGCTTTTGTACTGTTTCTTGACAGTTCCCATGACCATTTGGGAAGGACAGTTGCAAATTCCTGAATTGTGTACTTTTTTTTTTCCAGAGTGTATTTTTTAATGTAAAGAATATGTTGTATTGTATTTTATGAATATTTCAGGTTTACATTTTGCAGAGGAAAACCAACTCTTCCATGGCTGAGTAATAGCAATAAAAATTGGCTTATTTCAGATGTATCTTAGGGAGATGCTTAGGCACCTCCCTCAGACTAAAAGTTTAAGAGAAGGTGGCACCCGGCATTGGTAGAGGGAATTTCCTCAACTGGGCATCCTCTATACTAATAAAATCCTTTCCCTAGATAATTTCAGAGGTAGGGGAATAGTTAATTAAATTGCTGACTTTCCTTTCATCACTATATTTGGTCTTTAAACATAGTAGTCTACCATATGCACAAATTCATAAACATCCAAATTCACATGCCTTATACATTTAAACCCTCACAGGAAGGCAGGAAGAAGCCAGGTTGGTTTATTTTATTACCTTTGGAGTTTGCTACACCAGCTGCAGTTGAACCCAATCTGAGAAGAGACACAAGGTCCACAGCTATTAAACTGAAGACAAGCTAAAAAAATAAGGAAAAAAAAAACTTGTCAAAGAACATGTTTATATATTTTAAAAACAACCACTTCTCATAGAAAAAAAAATAAAAATAACCCCTTAAATACATTCAATAGGTCAAAATATCTCCGGATACCTAGTGTAGGGTTAGAAGGTGTTAATTTGATTTCTCAGACACTCCTGGGAAATGTCAGAACTTTGATTTAACAATTTTTTTTCCATTCACTTAGCCAGGTAACTTACTAGGTAGTGGGGTCATCTCCACAGCTGAAACATTAGTAATCTTCCCCATCTGGAGTTCTACCCGGTGGTATTCATAAATTGTTCTCCTTCGAATATCTACCAGAAAAAAAATTGTGAAAAAAATAACCTCTGAGTGTTTTCTCTAAGCAAATTATATCTTATGAAATAGTCAGTGAATATAGAAATTACATTAATTTCCATCTGTTTTACATTTAAATTAAAGTCTTTTCCCAAGATAAGATCTATTGGTCTCTTAGAGTTATTTCAGGAGCTTTTTCTCACTAAGAAATTTACGAAAATTCTGAATGGAGTCTCAAGCACTCACTAACTCGTTTAGGTAGAATCTGAATAGTTTATTTTCCTCAATCGTAATCGTATTCCAAATTCCTGCTTTCTTAGATTAATGTCTCCTGAAGATTTTGACAACTGAGGCTAAGATATGATGATAATAGTTCTTCCAAATGAAAGTGCTTCTTTTTTTTCTTTTTTAATAGTATTTTATTTTTTCTGATGTCAAGTGAAGATAAATTTTGAGATTCATTTAACAATTTTGAGTACCAAATTTTCTCCCTCTCTCCCCCATCCCTTCAATGAGATGCTAAAAAATTTGATATAGGTTATTTATGTGCAACCATGTAAAACATATTTCCATATAAATCATGCTGTGAAAGAAACAGACTAAACAAAAAAAAACCCCACAAAAAGTAAAGAAAGTGAAAATAGTATGCTTCAATCTACATTCAAACTCTATCAATTCTTTCTCTGGATATGAATAGCAACTTTCCTCATGAGACCTTTGGAATGATTTTGGACCATTGTATTGCTAAGAAGAGCTAAATCATTCATAGTTGATCATCATGCAATGTTGCCATTACTGTGAATAATATTCTCCTGGTTTTGTTCATTTCATTCTGCATCAGTTCATGTAAGTCTTCCCAGAATTTTTTTGAAATTTCCCTGCTCATTATTTCTTATAGCACAATAGTATAATGTTAAATCCATATACCACAACTTGTTCAACCATTCCTGAACTAATGGTCATCCTCTACATTTCCAATTCTTTGCCACCACAAAAAGAGCTGCTATAAATATTTCTGTATAAGTAGGTCCTTTTCCTAAAGTGTTTATTCTTTGGGAAGATGCTGATGTGAATAACAAACATTTACATACAGTTTTAAAGCTGACAAAGCACTTTAGATATATTATCTCATTTGAGCCTCAACATAATACCATGAGGTAGGTGCTGTTATTATACACCTTTTACAGATAGGGAAACAGTCTGAAAGATGTTAAATGACTCTCTCACGGTTACATAAGCTAGTAAATGTTCAAGGCAGGATTTGAACCCAGGTTTTTCTGGGATCAAACCCGGCACTCAATTCACTACACCTAGGTGCCCCCAACTTTGGAAAACTAAGACTTTTTCCCAGCTTAAAGTTTAAACTTTAAACAATCTTAGGGTTAGGTCAAATAACATAACCTTTACTTCAAAGTGTTAGTGTCAAATAACTTTCTTCAACATAAAAAAGGAGTTTAATTTCAATGAGGAACAAATGATTGTTTCTTTAAAATAAAATAATAACAATATTAAAGAGGCCAAGTAGTATAGTAGGAATAGCACTAGGTTTGCAGTTTGAAAACCTGACTGTGGATCCTAGGCCTGCAAAATACTCATTCATTCAACAAGTATTATTATTTACCCTCATTAACTGAGTGTCAGTTTCCTTATGTGTAAATTAGAGGGTTGATTAAATTACCTTTACAACTCCCTCCAGCTCTAAATAGATGATTTTAGGATATTTATCTTTAGAGTTCCTTCCATAGGGCTAAACTCAGGTTATTGGTGATTGCACGCAAACTGCCTTAGCAGACTGCATATCCTTTTGGCCCCAGGTACCAGAAGATGTTTCAAATCCCATCTAGCTAATCACGTAGGTGATTTCTCCATCTTCCTACCACCACTGATCTGTTCCTTCCTATTTGAGCCAATTGGATGTGAGACAAGAACTTCCATCCATGGATCTCCTAAAAGTTATGCCCCAGTCTCCGGGGAAGTGAATACACTTATTGCCGAACATCCAACTAGAGGCCAAGCTAGTTTATTGGTGAATAAATATATGCAGACTAATCCACTTTTCTCACTGTACTGCCTGGCCTTAGACATCAGGTGACACTTTAATTTCACATTCCATCCAGCCATGCTCCCAGGCCACTTGCACGTCCCACCCCTTTTCCACCTCCTTAGGACAAAACTTCCTGTCCTGATCACTAATATCCCATGTGGGCTGTTGTCCCATATTAGAAAGTAGACTCCTTGAAGGGAAGAGATATCTCAGGAAGAGATGTCATTATTTTATTTTATTTAAAAATATTTTATGTCCCACTCTTAGGACAGTGCCTAGAACATAGTAAGTCTTAGTAAATGATTTTTCCATTTATTCATTCATGGAATTTATAGACCACAATACTAATGCAACTACTTTGTACAAATGTATTCATTACAATACTTAAATTAATTTAAATAATTGCCCCAATGAATAAAATGGGCTGTTACAAAGCAATAGAAATTTATCTTTGCTATTTTTTAAAAATTGTTTTGGAAGAAGGAAATAGACCTGTGGTTTCATTGGTATAGAGAACTCCTAATGAGTTAACTTTTATCAAATATATCAACATCTACTTTGCAACCTGTAATTGCTGAGGGCAATGAGAAATTAAGTGATTTGCTCAGGGTCACCCTGCTAGTAGTCCCACAGAAAGTATCTGAACCTTGGTCTTCCTCACTACAAACCCAGACTCACTATAAATCTTTCCACTCTGGCCAGGTTGCCAGTTGTATACTGAACACTATAACAAGAAAAGAGAGAACTTTCTCTCAAGAGACTTATAATCTAGCTGGGGAGATAATTAGATCAATGTGGAAGGCACTGTGTAAGCAATATTTCTGCTTTAAATGTCAGATGTAGCTATACACAAAGTAATTTAACAGGTACCCATAAATGCTAAGAAAGTACAAATGTGGTTAACATAGTATTTACAGAGATTGTCCCAAAAGTCTTGGTGAGGTTTTTAGTTCTTAAAGCCTAACCCAACCTGAAGCAATTAAGGAAGCTTCTAATCTCAGACACACACAAACCATGGGCAACTGAGTTTTTGATGACATTGGCCCCATTTGGCATCTTAAATGACATGTCTGGTTCAATGATTTCATTGGCAGAAGGAGCTCCCAGTGAGGAAACTCCCTGTACTAAAGCCATTTAGCAAGTCTTCTATAATTTACAACTTTAAAAAGTTGCCTGGAGAATCGAGGAGTTATGGACTTAAATCTGTGGCTTACGGCCATACAACCATTATGTGTCAGAGGGCAGATCTGCCTGACTTTGAGGCCAGCTTTATCTCCAATTAAGCCTTCTGAAGAAGGTCATTGGAGTCAGTGGCATATGGTAGAAAGAAGATAGTGTATCTGTAGTCCAAAGGCCTGAATTAAAGTCTTAGCTGTGTAACCTTAAGTAAGTCAGTTTATTCATTCAGCCCTCAGTTTCATTATCTGCAAAATGAGGTCCTTTCATTTCCAACAACCTATCAATACATTCATCCTTTTTTTTAAACTATCTCCATTAAGGCACTAACATTTCCTGAGGGGCATGTTCAGTTGAATAAAATAGGAGGGACATGGGTTCATTTGTATCTATGTATGTATAATATTTAGGCATATGGATCATGAAGTCTATTTTTCTTTTTGAACATTTGTCTTGGGGGAAAAAAACGCCCAAGACTGATTAGCATAATTAGATTTCTCAGCACGCTGAACTCCTACATACTTGCTTCCCATTTATTTTGCTAAACAGGAAAATTAGGTGTTAAAAATAAAGAGACTGTATGGATCCATAATGGGGATTCTATAATTATAGATTAAAAATAAAAATTTAAGCCCCTCCTCCCAAAAAGGCTGTTTGTGTTTATTAATCATATTCAGGGAGCAATGAATGGAAAAAAACAGGCCTTTTTACTTTTTGAGATATTATACTTGTTCAGATATCTCTAGAATGGTGGCAGCCTGGGGGAGTGGACAATATTTGAAAAGCAAAATTAAAATAATAGTTTTTGACTGTTCTACTGCCAGTAGCTAGTGAATCCAAATGGTCAATTCTACAATATTTCAGAGATGCACCTGCCAAATAATAGTGATTAGCAATGTGTCAGCTCTGCAGCCAAAAATGTAAGCTTTCATATGTTTATGCACACACATATTATATGCATACATATACATATAATATGTGTATATACACATACATATATGCATATACAATATGTGTGCATACATATATGTGCATGTGTACATCTATATCTATCTATATCTATATCTATTTCTGTCTAAGGAAATAAACTCAATTAATTTAAAAACAAAAAGCTTTGGCTGTAGTACTTCAAATGAACCCAGCTAAACTACTGCTTTCTCTCTTAGCAGAGGTTATACAATTTGGACTGTTTTCTTAGCATCTCATTGAATCAGGACCTGCTCCAATACCTAGCAATTAGGGATCTGTTGAAAACCAAAATTTCCCTGTAACACAATCAAACATATAAAATCTAATTAATTAACCAAAAAACCTAAAGCTATGTGCTACAAAATGCTAATTTTAAATCATGGATTTGTGACCAGCATACATTACTGAATTAATTATAAGGCATAATTGGCAAATTCAGGAGATACTTTCAATAGCAATCATTTTCCATGTGCTCATATGGGAATACAAGCAATCCAATTTAAGCAATATACAGTACTCTTTGTAACAATCATTCTTAACAATAAAATGTAAAATGCTACTTAAATGAAAATTATTAGTACTTACTTCAATTTGTTTAGTTTCTATAATTTCACTGGCATGGCTATTTCTTTTACCAACTCAGGTTGTAAACTCACTATGATGTGTTCTTTCAGAGTTACCATGGTTAAAATTTCATCACCCTGAAGCCAATCTAGTGATGAGCCCTCCAAAGCCAGCTAGGCTAATCATCAGGCAACAGTTCTTTACCAAATCCATCCCATGATGTTTTCAAGAGAGACAGATATGACAGAAGTTGCCCTTCACAGG